GGAAGTGAGGCGGCAGGGGGCTGGGTCAAGTGTTCCCAGGCTTCCCAGGCCCCAGCCTTCCTCTCCTCCCCACCCTTCCAAGCTGGGACAGGGAGTGAGGGCTGGCTTCAGCCAGGTCTTCCTGGTTTGTTTACCAACAGCACAGTACTGAGTCATGCGCAACACAGCCAGCAGCATTTGATCGGGCTAAATATATCCCTTCTGCTGGGTCGGACCACACAGCCAGCTCTTGAAGGCCACGCAGACCAGGGACCACCCCATTCATCCTCCTGGGTTGGGGGGCCTTGTTCTGACCCCAGAGCCCTGTGTCTCATGGGAGCAAAGGACCAGCCCAGATCCAAACTGTCATTGTTGGCTGAATTCATGTGAATCGTTTCATCTGGGACAGAATCAGAGGACTTAAAGGGAAACTCATAGTTTTAGAGCCGCAGGACAACAAAGCAGCTGATCTCCCTACGTGAGCATATTTGCAGTCGTTCTAAGGGTTTATGAAAAATATGCACTAATAAAATGATTTATTAACTAGTGTTCCAAAGACTTCTCTTTGCACAACTTAAGGAGTGTTATTACTCAATGAAGCCAAGTATAAAGTTAGATATGGTATGACTGTGGTCATGCCTTTACAAAACATCAAAGTAGTGATTGTAAGAAACCATGAGGCCTGTTTACCTCCCAAAAGGGTAACTGGGGACCAGGAGATGAGACTTTGGCGCTGTGGCTCAGTGGTAGAGCACTTCCCCCTCCCTTGAGCTGAAGAGCTGAGGGACAGCACCCAGGCCCAGGCCCAGAGCTCAAGCCCCATGACTGCAAAAAAACCAAACCAAAACAAAAACACACACACACACAAAACCACAACCAAAACAAAACAACAATGCAGTTCTGAAGAAAATGTGGGCTGGGTGTGGTGGTACACGCTTGCAATCCCAACATTTAGGAGGCTGAGGTGGGAGGGTCCTTGGAGGGGGAGGAGCTGGGACCACAGCCCAAGTGGTAAAGCACCTGCTTGCTTATGAAACACAGTGCTGAGTTTAAATCCCAGCACTGCCCAAACCAACCAACCAACTCAACAAGAAAAGAGGGGCTGGAAAAGTTCCTAAGAGCTCGAGGCTACTCATTTGACAGAGAGTTCCTTTTACTGCCTACAGGGAAATCCAGTAACCCAAAACATCAGCCTTGTAAAGCAGGCGAATGACTCATCAGTGCTTGGAATACATCTGAAGGTATCACCAAGCCAAGACCTACCTGCTGAAAATATACCTCCCTGGCATGGATGGAAACTGCAGCCAAAGGGCGGTGCCCAAGCCCAGAATTCAAGCTCCAGTACTGGCACCAAACAACAAAAACAGAAACATGGTAGTGCGGTGGCTCACGAGTAATCCCAGCTACCGGGGAGGCGGAGGCAGGATTATGAATTCAAGAGCAAATTTGAAAGACCCTGCCTTGAAGATGGAAATAGAGGCGAAGCTAAGATTCTCATTTGCGGTAGCGGCTTGGAGAGAAGGGGGAAGGGGAGAAGATGGGTGGTGCTGGCTCTGAAGAGGAAATGAAAGCCAGCTATACTCCAAGACCTGAAGCAAGGAAGAAAGGAGACACAGGAAGTGTCCTGGTGATAAGCAAGGCAGCCAGCTTCCTCAGGGCTCCATCACCAGGAAGTGGGCCTCAGGCCTGTTCCCCACTCCTGCCCTTTCCTTATACCAAAACTGGGGACAGTCTTGGGGACAGTCAAGTTGGGAACGGCATCTCCATAGCTGGGTCCTGGGGCTCTTTGCTCCAGACACTTCCTGGTTAGCAAAAGGCGCCCAGCCATCCCCAGGGGGCTGAAATAGCACAACTTGCCACCTAAGTCCTCAAGAGGCCTCTCTCTCCCCAGGCCGATCCTTTTTGTAGCATCATTTTGCTACTTCGCAACAAGTACCTGGGTTGGGGCACAGGAGAAGGGCTTGCCTTCTCTAGAATAGCCCTGCCCACCACATTTAAATGTGAATACCTGTCATGAAGATGGCTGAACTGGGCAGCCAGCACTAGCCACACGGCTTCTAAAACCACTTCTCAGCAGTCTCCATGAAGCATGGGAGAGCAGCCAAAGTTCTCCACGGCTTAGGAATTACAGCTATGAAAGCCGACAGACCCCAAAGGGCTCATGATAGGGACACATTGTACAGCCACAGGGATCAAAGATAAAAGCACCGCAAATCATTGGGGCTGGGAATGTGGCTCAGTGGTAGAGTGCTTGCCTTGCAAGCCTGAGGCCCTGGGTTCGATTCCTCAGCACCACATAAGCAAAAAGAAAAAAGCCAGAAGTGGCGCTGTGGCTCAAGTGGTAGAGCGCTAGCCTTGAACT